GGTTTCGCATCTTGCTGAAATGGCAAAAATTTCGGCTTATCTGAAGGATCACTCAAATGAACAATTTTTATCAATATGGAGAAGATGGATTGTTTATATTCAAAATAAGCATAGAATGGTGGAATATAATTTAGGTTTTTAGATAAAAACTTTTTTTTTCTTTATATATATATTTCACCTACTTATGTAGAATAATATTATGTGGAGTTAGGGATATTAATACTAGTTTACTTTTAGTTGAATAGTATCCTGGGATTAGGTTTGGGAAGTCCGGGTGGGGGGTGGGGGGTAGGGGTTTTTATATTGTGATGTATTTGTGATGTGTTTTTTTTATGATGAAAATAATAAAAAATTTATATTTGGGAAAAAAAAAAAGATCCTTCTCTATCTTAAGCCTATCTTCTGGAGTGTTGGCTATTCCTGCCAGCTTAGTGTCATCTGCAAATTTGATGTGTTCCCCATCTATCCCCTCATCCAAATCATTGGTGAAGATGTTGAAGAGTACTGGACCTAAAACAGAGCCTTGGGGTACCCCAATGTATACTTCCCTCCATGTAGATGCAGTACCATTGAGGACTACACATTGAGTGTGGTTGGTCAGCCAGTTAAAAATCCATCTGGTGGTGATGCTGTCTAACCCACATTTTTCTGTCTTATCAAGTAGTAGGTTGTGGTCTACTTTATCAAATGCCTTACTGAAGTCCAAGTAAATTATATCCATAGCATTTCTCTGGTCCAGTAATTTTGTCACTTTGTAAAAGAATGTAATAAGATTTGTCTGGCATGATCTGTTTTTGACAAACCCATGTTGGCTTTCGGTTATCACTTTGCTTGCCTCTTAAGTGCTCACTGATTCGTTGCTTGATTATCTTTTCCAGAATCTTCCCGGGTATTGAGGTCAGGCTGATAGGTCTGTAGTTTCCTGGATCTTTTTTTTTCCTTTTTTGAAGATGGGAACTACATCAACTCTTTTTCAGTCCTCTGGTAGTTCCCCAGTGCTCCAGGATCTTTGAAAGATATAGTTCAGTGGTTCGGAAATCACGTCTGCCAGTTCCTTCAGAACCTTGGGGTATAATCCATCTGGTCCCGGTGATTTGAATTCATCTAGGGTGGACAGGTGGTCACTTACCATTTTCTTGCCTATTTTAACTTATATTCCTAATCTGTTTTTTACGGTACTGTTTTTGATAGGTTGGACTGTTTTTTTTTCCTTTTGTGTAAAGACAGATGCAAAAAATGAGTCAAGCAGTTCTGCTTTCTCCCTGTTGCTTGTCACCTTCTTGCCACTTTCTCCCATTAATGGACCAATTGTTTCCTTGACTTTTTTCTTGGTTTTTACATGTTGAAAGAAGCTCTTTTGTCATTTTTTACTTTTGTCTCAAGCTTTAGTTTAGGGGACCCCAACCCCCGGTCCATGGACCAGTACCGGGCCATGGCATGCCAGCAACTGGGCCGCACAAAAAAGCAAAGCCCCATCCGTGGGATGCAAGCAGCACACAAAACCATTCCCCTTCTGGTCCGCGGAAAAACCTCTCTCCACGGAACCAGTCCCTGGTGCCCAAAAGGTTGGGGACCTCTGCTTTAGTTCATTTTGAGCCTTAGCTTTCCTCACTTCATCTTTGCAGGCTCGGGTTATTTGCTGATAGTTTGCCTTAGTTATGTGCCCCTCTTTCCACTTTTTATACTTGTCCTTTTTGTCTTTCAATTTATCAGAGAGTTCTTTATGCAGCCATTCTGGTTTCTTTTGAGAGCTGTTATTTTTCTTCTTCATTGGTATTGTGTTAGACTGGGCTTTTATAATCTCACTTTTCAAAATTTCCCAAGCTTCTTTGGTTTTTTCCCCCTTGAGGATTCTCATCCATGGAATTCTTCCCAAGCTCTAAGTTTGTTGAAATTAGCACTCTTAAAGTCCAAGACTCTAGTTTGACTTTGTTCTATTGCTTTTGCTTGCATAATTTAAGTCCAGAGATTTCTAAAATAGTTTCCACAGCAATTTCCAGCTTCTTTATTTTGGCTTGAATACACCAAATCCTCCCATTGTGTGCATCTTAAAATCATGAAGGTTCAGAAATGACGATATTTCAACAAAAAAGAAAAAGCAGGCTGCAGCCAGAGGGAGCCTCTTTTAAAGAGAAAGGTAAATATGCAAAACATTAGTGTCTAAGAAATGGTGGCAGACTTTATTTTCCGTTTTATACAGCTGGTTCTTCCATGGTGAACTTGCTTCTTGGTTGCCCCTTCCCCAGTAATTACTTCTTTTTCAAGAAGCTCTCTAAGAGCATCCAGCCATCCAGTTAATTTCCAGAACTTCCCCTTTCCCAGGGAAATTTCTTCTGACTTAGAAAACAACTCTAGGTACAAATCCATCGAGAATCAGTAACAGACCAAAAAAGGAATGCTGTTAGCAGGCCACTATATCTGCCGGAAGTCTGAGATGCCCTCACAATCTGACAGATTTGGAGCGATTTTGCAAGGACGACTGGGCAAAGATTCCCAAGGCAAGATGTGCCATGCTGATAGGCTTCTACCTCAAAAGACTGAATGCTGTCATAAAATCACAATGTGCTTCAACAAAGTATTTGTTTAAGGGTGTGCACACTTATGTAACTGTGTTATTGTGCCTTTTTTAATTGTTATTTTCCCCCCTAAAAGATTTGTTTGTTTTTCAGTTGAATTGTACAGCTTATATGTTATATTAAAGGTGAATAAATTCTGAAGTGATTTATCTTGGTCTGGTTTTTTTTTTAGATCTCAAAAACCTGTCATTTCAACAGGGGTGTGTAGACTTTTTATATCCACTGTACATAAGCCTCATTTTTTCTTTCTAGCAATAAAAATACATCAGACTTCTGAATCGTCAAGGGAATTGAGTTGGAGTAAATCAGTGTTTTAAATTTTAGTTTTAATTATATTCACTTTTATGATTTGCATTCTCACTTGTAGTCTGATACAACACAATAACAATTTACTTTTAGTACTTACTCTAGCCAATGATTTGAACCCCATTTTTAGCTAGGCTCTACCCTGTATGCCAGGGGTCCCCAACCCCTGGTCTGTGAACTGGCACCGGTCCGTGGCATGCCAGCAACCAGGCCATGCAAACAAGCGAAGCCCCATCCGTGGGATGCAGGCAGGCAGCAAGCAAAACCATGCTCCCTCCGGTCCGCAGAAACAGCTTTCTCCCTGGCGCCCAAAAGGTTGGGGGCCACTGCTGTATGCACTTTCCCCTATCCTGCAAATGTTTCTGTGCATTCTAGGAAGGAGCCAAAGAGTTTGCAGCTGCTTTGACTGATGAAAGAATAAAAACTCCTCCAAAGCGCCCAGGAGGTCGCCGAAGGGGAAGGATTCCGAACAATACCAGCAGGCCCAGCACGCCAACCATAAATGTGCTGGAATCAAAGGATACAGACAGTGACAGAGAAGCTGGAACTGAAACTGGAGGTGAAAATAATGATAAAGATGAGGAAGAGAAAAAAGATGAAACTTCAAGCTCCTCTGGTGAGACAATTGTGGAATGTTGCTGGGTTTGTAAAGCATGTTTATACGGGGACTGGAAGTATTGGATTACACGTCATTTGTTTTCTTGAAGGGCCATAGTTTTATATACTACCTACTTTTGAAACTATTTACTAAGTCTAAAAAGAAAAAGTAGGCCAACAAATTCAACTCAAGGTCTATATTTTGAGGAACCAAATACAGTCTACTCCGGCTAATAATGAAAACCCCTTTAAAGCACAACAGTAATAATGTTAATATAATAATGTTTATTCATTCTAAGAAAGCCATGCTGCTATTCTCAGTAGACCCTACACATGTTAGCCCTTACTGGCAAAAATTATTTTTCTGGCATTTGAGCTTTATCAATAGGATGAGCAATGCAAGAATCTTTCAGACATCATATATGTCAATTCTAGGTTCTTCCGGCACCGGAATTTCACAATAGTTATTTCCTCTTCAGGAATTTGTGTTGAACAGCAGAACTGCAACTACTTTAAATCTCCTGCTGTCATTAGGACTAGGAGGCCATGTGACTTGGTGGCAATACTGAGATGGCCTTATTGATCCTGGGAAATGTCCTGTAGAATAATTTCCCTCTGAAGTTATTTAAACAACTTCTCAAAACATGTTTTATTAGGGTTTTGGAGTTCTTCATTTTTAAAGACAAAAAGTATTGGAATGTATAGGGACATAAATTGGGTGTTTATTTGCAGTTCCTTAATGCAGCCATAGTTTTCTCCAAGATTCTACACTTGATCCTGAGAAAGTATGTATTTGGTTTAAGGTGGTATTGTTGTCACAGAAAGCTCTGGTCCTTTTACCTGGCATTCAAGCCCAATGAATCACACCAGATAGGTAGAAAGGAAAAGAGAACTTTTATTTGCAAATAAAAGTATTACCCAGAAGCAAGTTCCAAATGGGCACACCCCTGCTCTGAGTGGATCCCCTTTTATACAATTTTGAAAATCATACATTGCCATGAACCAATCATGGAAGCACACATCATTATAAACCAATCATTAAGAGCAACATCATGCATATATCTTCAGTAGTCATAGTAACACAGTTCAGCTAAAGGTTATAAGGTAGGCTAAGACTTTTACCATATCACTAACATTCCTCCTTACTAAAAACATTCCTAAGCAGCTTGGTACAAGGGTCTGACCCATCACTTTAATGGTCAGGCATTCCTGGGCAGGAGGCAGATGGTCTTGCTCAAGTTGGTGTCATCTCTGCTTAATAAAGCAGTTCAGCGCCATGCCAATAGATAGAAGGCACTATAGCTTTTTCTATGTGCTAAATCATAATTAACAATAAATTAAAATACATTAAAAGGGGATGTCCCAACAGTATGTTAATGTTCACTCATGCTTTGAGCACTTTTTTCCTTTGAATCAAAAGTGCTGCCCCTATTATCTGTTAATTTATTGACTGTTAGAGTAATATCCAATTCCTCCAAAAGCTCAAGGTTTTTATGATGCTATTTCCCAAGCCACTCACCTTCTAATATTGGTCATTTTAATGGATTATTTTAATTTGTAATAACATTTATATAATCATTTTCAATTCATTTGGGAGTTTTTTATTTTTAAGAAATAAAATAAATAGCCAGATTCTTCTCCATACATATTGGGGAGTGGGGTCTGTCTGGCATTTTTATCCCCATTTTCCCTTTTTTCTACTCAAATTAGAATTAATATAGCTCCTGATTATTGCAGGACAGTACATTCCAGAGATGAAATCTTGAATTTTTCAAATTGCTGATTAAAGATGCTCAGTGCCTCTGACAATCAGACGTCAATGTCTCTACAAGACTTTTGTTATTTTTAATTAAACATTTTAGCAGTTTTTCCAGTTGTTCCAGTTTTTCACCTAGGTTGTGAGCAACAAAACAAAACAGACCTTCTGGATCTCAGCCTCATTTTGGCTAAAAAGAACCAGTCAAGTAAATAAATGGAACATTGAACCATTACTTCTGATTTAATGTGATGGAATACTCAACCAATTTATATGTGTGTGACATTTTTTTTCCTTTGTGCTCCAGCATGTGCTATACTCTTCAGTTATACCTTAGATAAAAATCTGAGGAATGTTTTTCTTGACAGTAGGAATTAATCCATTATTTTATACCTTTATCATCAAATTGGAATTAATCATTACAGTACATAAAGGATATCAAAGATGCTCAAACATTAATTTTCCAACTTTATTTTGGAGCATACTGCTGTAATCACTCATGTATCATGTAAAATCGGTTACTTATATACCATAAAATGAGTTGGCATACATCCTTCCAGTCTATCCCCGCCCCAAACATGTTGTCTTGTTTTCTTTCTGTGCCAAGAGTAAATGAATGCTTCAGTCAAACCTGATACAGGAATACCTTGGAATTTCCTTTTTGAGGATATGATTAGCAACATTTTTGTTGATTGCTCCTCTGGATATGCCATTAATTGATTTTATAGAAACTTGTCTTATTTTAACCTTGGTCAAACAAACTAACCTTGTACTTGTTCAATATGTTTCTCAAAATTTTGATCTTTAATTAATTCTGATGGTATTGTGAGGAGCTTCTCTTCAGTTTTTTCTCTTTCCTACCTCAGAGGCTACTTCGAGGCTTCAGCAAACCTCCTTTGTAAATCCAGTGAGAACTGATGATCCAGGTCATTCTCTTGGCTTATCATTTGTATTTCCACTTTAACTATCATCTCTGTCTTATAATCCACAATTGTTTTTATTTTCCACTATTTCAACAATTTTTTATATTCTAATATTTCTGTATCAGATGAAGTTTATTTTAGCTCTTTAAGATGTACATCTTCTGAGGTATTCTCTATCACATCTGTCATTTCTTCTTTAATATATTTTTGGACATAGTCTATAGAAGCAGACATCATTTCTGACATTCTGGCTGCTAGTTTCTGTCCTCATTGTTCAAATATCTCCTGGAGCATTTCAAGTGTCATACTATTTTCTGTCATTTTGTCTCGGTGCTGACCAAAACTAAAAGACAAACCTATCTGTTTTTAAAGTCTTTTTTTCTTTTATGCCTGGAACCTTTAGTCCCCTCTAGTATCCAATTTATGAAATCATAAAGTCTTGAATTTCTGCTGTGACTTAAGGTAGACTAAACAATTTAGTTTCCACCGAGGTGCTGTTTGTTTATATAATTATTTCCAAACTCTAATAGCAAAAGTCATTCCAAATTTGTCTGGTCCTTTAATTTGTTTGTAACTTTCTTGAATTAAAGTTTTATTTAGCTTTTTGCCATTTATTTCAATTTTTTTAAAAAACATTCTCAAGCTTATAGTTAACTTTTATTCTGTAATGAAGGTGAACTCACCAGTTGACTTTGCAAACTTGTCTTTTTGAAGATTTCTATTAGTCTTAAGATACTTAAATAGGTAATATTGGAAAACAATTAGAAAGTGAGGTTACCAAACCCATTGTCCTTTAAAAGGCTCTGCTGAGGTTGAGAGTGTGATGGCTTCTCTTTGTCTCCTGATATTCAAACCTGCAGCAAAACTACTATCCTGTGGTCTCCTTGCAAGGAGTAGTCATCTGGAGAATAAGTGAGTGATCTCCCATCCTCTCCTTATCCGGAGAGGTTACATGGGACTGATCTCTCCAGTCCTTTATTTGTGACTGCAACGTCATCTCCACTCATTCAGAGATGTGTTAGCTCACCATTTCTCACCCAGAAGTTAGGATGTGCCATTAATTGAACTTAAAGAATAAAGACTCATTTCAGAAATGTGAGGGGTCAAAAGTCAAGTCTGATAACATCATAACAGTGCTATATATCAGAATTAGCAATCTGAGGTCCTCCTTATGTTTTGGATTACAGCTTCCACAATCTATTGACCTTGGTCAAGGCTGTTGGCTGTAGAGTGTACACATTGCCTACCCCTGCTATATTTAAAATGGTATCCTATTGAAAGTAGTCTTTTTTCTGTTTGGCCATAGCTGTTATTTCTGGGAATTGAAACTGTTTGCTTTTGGCATTGCAGAAGCAAATTCTAGGTGTCAAACACCAATCAAGATGAAGCTAAATATAGAGCCTCCAGAAAATGTTGAATGGACTGGTGCTGAAGCTTCTATGTTCAGGGTTCTCATTGGTACCTACTATGACAATTTCTGTGCAATAGCCAGGTTAATTGGGACCAAAACATGCAGACAGGTAAGCATGAAATGATGAGAACGTTTTCAAAACTATTAGTAGTGAAACAGTACAAACATTCATTTGTTAGTAATTTCAAATGTATTAGATTTTATGGAGAATGCTAATACATCAAATTCTAATCAATAAAACATTGCACTGAAACATAGAGGATGTTTAATCTCCTTACAGGTATATGAGTTTAGAGTAAAGGAATCTAGTATTATTGCTCCAGCACCTGCTGAAGATGTTGATACTCCTCCAAGAAAGAAAAAGAGGAAACACAGGTAAACAAACTGCATATCAGCCATCCCACAAAATTTTTAAAGTGGGAATTTTTTAAAAAAATATATTAATAAAATGAATGTCACAAGCAAAGATCTTGAGAAATTCTAAACTGTTACTTTTTGTTAAATATGTTCTGAGATCAATGTCTGAATGGAAGAATTGAGTGCAAAGCAGTGGACAATTCAAATGCAATTACTTATGTTCTGCATATAAAGATTGCACTGAAATATAAGAAATCTGCTTTAGATTTTCCTGAAATAACCAATTTATAAAGCATTTTTCCTAAAATAATTCCACTGCCAAAATTTGCCTCAATTGACGAATATTGGCACTATGGGGAAAGGGGGTGGGGGGGAACAGCTCTAATTCATTGACATCATTATATCATCAGCTCACCACTCGTGATTCCTGGTGATTTAAAATAATAGGGAATTCCTTTTCCAGTTGTTATTTGATATGTATCCTGCTCTTCTATCACTGAAGGTGGCTAACCAGAAATAAATAACAGCTAAAGCAGCATAAAAACTGTTAAAATCACTATTAAACTTCATCAGTCAGCTGAACAGCATGTTTGTGAAGGGAAATGAATATGGATCTTTATAATGCCAAATAGTGGGTATGAGAAAACATTAATCTGCTGACTTTTCAATTCTCAGATTACCAAGATTGGATCATTTATGTTCCCTGTCTTCCAGGATGCTCACCAATAGCAGGACACAAAAACATACAGTTAATGCACAAGCACACTCAACAAACCACCCATATACTACAGTGTTTCCCTGAAAGTAAGACCGGAGCCTTCCGGAAAGGCTTCTGCAACCAAGAACAGAGCTACGGATTCAATCGGTTCTCGGTTGCAGAGGCCTTTCTGGAAGGCCTCTGACGGCAAAATGCAGGCCGGAGCTCCATTCTCAGCTGTAGAGGCATTTCCTTCGGCTGCAGAAGAAGTGGGCCAGCTGGGTAGGGCTGTCGGTGCCACCGCCATGAGGTGAGACTGTGGAAAAGGCACCCCCCAAAAATAAGACCTGGTGCCTCTTTTGGAAGGAAGGAAGGAAGGAAGGAAGGAAGGAAGGAAGGAAGGAAGGAAGGAAGGAAGGAAGGAAGGAAGGAAGGAAGGAAGGAAGGAAGGAAGGAAGGAAGAAAGAGAAAGAAAGAGAAAGAAAGAAAAAGAAAGAAAGAAAGAAAGAAAGAAAGAAAGAAAGAAAGAAAGAAAGAAAGAACGGGTCTTATTTTCAGGGAAACACAGTAGCAGTGTTTGAATTTAGAGTTTCACAGTATTCCTGCACTTGTATATAAGGCATACTTGTACATAAACACAACTTAATGGCCTTCTTTAGTGAACCCACCCATGTGAAATCTAATTGCTCTGTACCAAAGAATCCTTAAAAATGGTTATAACTTATTCTTGGGGTGGATGGCCAGTTGTATGAAGCTGTGAGCATTTCTATCTAGTCAGTGTTCTGCTAATACATCCAAGCAGTATATATTGTGAACTATCTCAATGGCCTCAGACAGTGGTGGGATTCAAATATGTGAACAACCGGTTCTCTATGTGGATGCCACTTCCGGAAGTCCATTCTGGGCCTGGGCAACAAAAAATTAGCTACCGGTTCTGCCGAAGTGGTGCAAACCGGCTGAATCCCACCACTGGCCTCAGAGCCAGTGCATTCTGATTGATCCATATGGGTTAGGGTTGGTGTTTGGGTCCTAGCAATAAATTGCTGTTATGAGCTATGACAACTGGGCTAATACAGTGCATTCAGAAAGTATTCAGACCCCCTTCACTTTGTCAGTAAATCCTGACTTAGTTCAATTTAAAATTCTGTTTCCTCAATCCAATATGTCATATGTTGTTGTTCATCTGAGGCCGTATTTACCTACTTTTAAGAACTGCTAAGGACCAGATGATTTTTACTATGTCCTGATACGTAAAACCATAGAACTCAAAGAGGGTGTACTTTCTTTTTCACAAGACTGTACTGCTGTGTAACTGTTGTTTACTATAGCCAGAGTTTAGCATTAGTTGCAACACAACTGTCTAATCAAGTTGTTGGGAAAAGAACAGAACACTTACAAAAGCCCCACATGAAACAGCTGTGTTTTGTTCTGAGTACAAAAATAAAATATGATTTTTGGTTTTGTTCTATTCTCAAAACATACTGTCAAAACACAGTTTTCAAGGTCAGTTCAGAGATTATTCACACTTAAATTGTATGACACATCCCTATAGAAAATTACAGCTTAACTTTAAACATGTCAGTGCAAAATTAATATTTCTGGTGTGATAATATTTTAAAAGATGCAGTCTTAAGTGACATTTTGACATTGCTTATTTTGTTTCTGAAAGTGATACAAAATAGTAAAATCTCTCTTCTAAGATGCAGCTTGAGTTAGGTGCATTTTCCAGGTCAAAATTGTTTAACTATATTGTATGTTCTTCATTTTACAGATTGTGGGCTGCTCATTGCAGAAAGATACAGCTGAAGAAAGGCTAGCATCTTTAAATTCAACTTATGTCTTGAAATTCTGTTTTTATTTTTTTTAAAAATAATAACATCCAAACATATTATCCAATCCAATAAACTTTATGAGCAAGTGGTTCCAGTATGCACATGAAGATATTTTGCCTCTAAGGGTATTCTGGTTTAGTTTAACTCAGAGGGCTACCCCTTGGTTTGCATGTCCTAAGTGGGAGGAATAGAAACTACAGTGGATCTAGGCTTAGTATAGTATTTTCCGACTTCTAGAAATATAGCAGGGAACTAGGAAGGTTTTGGGCTTGATCCACCTCCAGAACGCATAGGTACCTTCTTTGGCAATTTTTATAGTAGACAATGATGGTGTGCCTTTATATTTCCTGCATGGAGGAGGCATCCAGAAGTACCTCATTTTCCATATTCTTCGTTTGGCAAGTGCAGGGAAAGACAGGAGTAATAAAAGATTCTGTTGAAGTGCATGGAATTTAGGTTATTTCTCTTATCTTTTCCCTAAGTTCTTGATATAAAGGGATATGGGGGCTTTTTTATGTAGTTATTTGGTTGAAAGGGATGAGGATCTCCTTTTATACTCTTTCAAAAGATGTATTGATTTTTCTGTCCTTAAAAATGCCTAAATTTGTTGTTCAGATGGGTCATCTAATCATGTTTACAACTACCAGCCATGTGATCACCCACGCCAGCCTTGTGACAACACATGTCCATGTGTCATGGCACAGAACTTCTGTGAGAAGTTCTGTCAGTGCAGTTCAGAATGTAAGTGTTGGAGAGATTTTATTTTTTAATATGATTTGAACAATAAGTTGTCTTACTGATGAAGTTTTAAAGTTCTTGTGGTAACCTTAACAATGTTTAGCAATAGCAACAGCAATAACACTTAGACTTATATACCACTCCATAGTGCTTTACAGCACTCTCTGAGTGGTTTACAAATGTAAGCATATTGCTCCCAACAATTTGGGTCCTCATTTTACTGACCTCGGAAGGATGGAAGGCTGATCTGTAACAGGAGTTTAAAAAGTTGATTCAGCTTTCATTTTTGTTTAAAGGCCAAAACAGGTTTCCTGGGTGCCGTTGTAAAGCACAATGCAATACAAAGCAGTGTCCTTGCTACTTAGCTGTACGTGAGTGTGATCCAGATCTCTGTTTGACATGTGGAGCAGCTGATCATTGGGACAGCAAAAATGTGTCTTGCAAGAACTGCAGCATTCAACGAGGATCCAAAAAGGTGGTTCATCTTTTTATGAACAGATGGCATATTTTATCTTTGTTCATGCCAGACAGCTCTGCATAATATACACTGTGTGCACAATTATTAGGCAAGTGAGTATTTTGACCATATCATCATTTTCATGCATATTTTCCATCTCCAAGCTGTATAAACTTGAATGCTTAGTGGATATAAGCATATCAGGTGATGTGTGTTTGTGTAATGAGGGAGGGTGTGGCCTAAGGAGGTCAACACCCTATATCAAGGTGTGCATAATTATTAGGCAGCTTCTTTTCCGCAGGCAAAATGAGATTTATCTGACTCTGAAAAGTCAAACATTATAAAAAGTCTTTCAGAGGTATGCAGCACTCTTGAAATTGCTAGGATGTTGGGGTGTGATCACAGAACCATCAAACGTTTTGTTGCAAATAGTCAACAGGGTTGCAAGAAATGTGTTGAGAAAAAAAGACGCACATTAACTGCCAAAGATTTGAGAAGAACCAAACGTGAAGCTACCAGGAACCAGATGGATGGGCCCGTGGCTGGATCAGTAACAGGCACAGAGCTCCATTTCGACTCAGACGCCAGCAAGGTGGAGGTGGGGTACTGGTATGGGCTGGTATTATTAAAGATGAGCTAGTTGAAACTTTTTGGGTTGAAGATGGACTCAAAATCAAGTCCTAAACCTACTGCCAGTTTTTAGAAGACACTTTCTTGAAGCAGTGGTACAGGAAAAAGTCTGCATCTTTCAAGAAGACATGGATTTTTATGCAGGACAATGCTCCATCGCATGCATCGAAGTACTCCACTGCGTGGCTAGCCAGTAAAAGCCTTAAAGGTGAAAGAATAATGACATGGCCCCCTTCCTCACCTGACCTAAACCCTATTGAGAACTTGTGGGTCCTTCTTAAACAGGAGATTTACGGTGAAGGAAAACAGTACATCTCTCTGAACAGTATCTGGGAGGCTGTGGTTGCTGCTGCTGCACAAAACGTTGATCGTCAACAGATCAAGAAACTGACAGACTCCGTGAATGGAAGGCTTATGACTGTTATTGAAAAGAACTATGGCTATGGCTTCCGGTTCTGCGCAGCTAGCGCCACAGCTGAGGGATTGAGACGATCTGAGCCCTACAGCTGATTTCTCTCTGTTTGGGGACCCTAAATGGTCCCAAAGCCACCCCAGAGAGGTGGCAAAGAAGGAGGGAAGCCCCGCCGATCCTGGTGAGACAGTGGTCGATCCGGACGTCTGGGGAAAGCTCTCCAAAAACCGACAGAAGAAAGGCTAGCGTCATTCATGACTCTAGCCCAAGTTACATGCAGTCAAAGCCAAAAAGCACTAAACTAAGCGTGATTGTAAACAGTGTGCGTGAACTGGGTAAGTATATTGATTTTCTCTCTTCTACCTGACTGATTTCCTGAGAAAAAAAGAAAAAAACCCAGAAGTAAAAATCCTCCGAAAGTGAGAGGGGTGTGTGTCTTTGTTCCACCCTCCACTAAACAGAAGCGGTGAATTAAGTTTATGGGGAAAAAATACAGAAAATTGAAAGATGGACTGGTGCTGACATCTAGTGGTGGATGAAAATACTGCCCTAAATATACAGCCCAGAAAGAAAAGCCTGTTGTCGTGACCTTCAGGGCTTTGACTAAACAATTAGCAGTTGTAACAAAAGAGAAGAAAACATTGTGAACTATCTACAAAGTGAGAACTATAAAACTTAGAAAAAAAATTACCGTCCTGGATTATAAATATTTTTTAAATTGTGACTTTAAAGTGATTGGCAGAGAAAGGATTTTTGGTCATTATGGAGCATCAGAGATCTGCAGAAAGAACATATCAAGAAAAAATAAATACTTACCAGGAGGAAATGTATGTTCTGTTACAACAAATGCAAATGATATTAACTTCAAACCATGAGGAAATTAAAAATGAATTTGAAAATTTAAATGAATGCATTCTCAATTTAACGTCACAACAATTAAATGATCAGAAAACAAAAAAAGAGAGAGATCATGTAAAGCAGACAACTGAATATAAACTAGTCGAAACTCAAGTGGAGAAGCACTTACAAGAAACATTGAACATGGAAAAGATAACTTGTACTCTAAGACCACAAAGTAAATTTGAGGATAAGGAAAAAGATTTGACAAAATGGACTGCTAAGCTGTTGGGAGTACCACAAGAAATGGGGAGACAAGGGATGATGAGAGAAATCTTCAATGAATATGAAGGGGCAATTTTTTTTTACAAAAACATAATGTTTGATTTGCCTATTATATCTACAACAATATTTGTAAGATTATGGAAAGACTCTTTGATGCAACGGAATATATTGATTGGGAAAGATGCTTGGCAAAAGAAGACGGCTAAAGTGAGAATTGAGGAATTAGATGATGGGGTGTATCAGAGGGAATATTTAAAAATTAAACACTTGTTTGAATATGGCTGAGGAAATAGAAAGATTTTAGTTTAACAGGGATGAACCCTCCAAGTAAGACAGCATTTTTTCTTTTCTCTTTTTATTTTGTTTTTTGATATGAGAAATATAAAAATGTTTGGGATGATCAATATAAAGGAAATGTTTTAGACATTTAAATGTAATTGATTTTAAGAAAATTCCAATGGATAACTAAAAAGGGGAAATTTGTTTTGAATAGACTTAAAAGATTAGATGATTGGATTTATTAAATGGAACATTTAAAGATTAAATATAGGTTTAATTATGGGTAAAAAGAACAGAAAAAAATGGATATAAGTGTATACTAGTTCAAGAGGGATATGTATTTTAAGTAGTATATTATTTTCTTATTTTTTTCTCCCCTTTTTTTCTTTTTTCCTTTTTTTCTCTCACGTCTTTTCTTTTTCTATGTTTTTCTTTTGTGTCTTTTTCCTACTTATTTTTTAAGACATGAAAGTAGATTTAAATACTTTAAGGTAATTAACTCTGGGAAAATTTTAACCAGTAGAAATGTTTTGAACATTGTAGGGAAAATAAATTTAAATAAGAATTGTAAACAGGATTCATGACGAGGCAACCAAGATGACCAGATAGAAAAGAAGCATGATATTGATGTGATTATTATTGGTAGAAATTTTAGAAAAATCTTTATATTTAATTGTTACCTATCAAATTAATAAGAATTGTATTAATTTAAAGTTGCAAAGAGAATATTATTGGAAGAAAATCAAGCAAAGCTATTATGTGGACTTTGGAATATAGAAACTAACTGTTAATGATTACTTTGTAAACAACACGCTGTTTACCAAATATCAAGGTGTTTATGTTAAAAATTCAATAACATATATTTAAAAAAAAAGAAAAGAAGGGTGGTTATATTGGTCACTGATTTTTTTGGGAAATGTCAGAAATCTTCATTTGTACATTTTGAGTTGTTTGTTTATTATTCTCACTTTGACAGAGGAAAATAAATGAGTGAGATGGGCAAATTTTCATTTTCCATTTAGTCACATAATAATTCTACACACTAATAGTTGCCCAATACAGTGAGGGAAAAATTATTTGATCCCCTGCTGATTTTGTATGTTTGCCCACTGACAATGATCAGTCTATAACTTTAATGGTAGGTTTATTTTAACAGTGAGAGACAGAATAACAACAAAAAAATCCAGAAAAACGCATTTCAAAAAAGTTATAAATTGAGTTGCATTTTAATGAGTGAAAGAAGTATTTCACCCCTTTGAAAAACATGACTTAGTACTTGGTGGCAAAACCCTTGTTGGCAATCACAGAGGTCAGACGTTTCTTGTAGTTGGTCACCAGGTTTGCACACATCTCAGGAGGGATTTTGTCCCACTCCTCTTTGCAGATCCTCTCCAAGTCATTAAGGTTTCGAGGCTGACGTTTGGCAGCTTGAACCTTCAGCTCCCTCTACAGATTTTCTACGGGATTAAGGTCTGGAGACTGGCTAGGCCACTCCAGGACCTTAATGTGCTTCTTCTTGAGCAGGGGTGTCAAACTCAATTTCATTGAGGGCCGCATCAGCATTACGGTTGCCCTCAGGGGGCCGGGTGGGTGCGGCCTACTGGGTGGGCGTGGATGGAGTGGGTGTGGCCTACTGGGTGGGCGTGGCCAGATCTACATCTTTCGCGTCAAGGGTGCCTGTGGGGGCCTGGGCAGGAGTGGGACAGATCTGAGAGTCTCTGGCAGAAGGGGGTGGGACCAGGGCAAATGCCAAGGCATGGTCCACTGGAGGAGCCTCACTGTTCCTCTCAGGCCATGCGGGGGGGGGCTGGATGGTGGTACGGGTTTCCCGGAGCCCTGGGCAGCAGAGGTCAAATGCCCAGCCTGACCCTGGAACAACCGCGGCACCAAGCCCAGCCCCACTTCCCCAAGGAGGCGCCCAGCTGCACTTACCTCCTCCTCAAGGCTGCTGCTGCTGTGCTTGCTCTCCTTAGCCAGGTTGCTCATGATGGGTACAAGGGCAAAGTCAGAGGGAGGCCCATTCCCTCTCCATGGGAGGAGACCCGGCTTTGTATCCAAAGCTTCCTTAGCAATAGGATGGGAGACCCCCAGGATAGGCCAGGAGGAGGGGGCAAGGGGATGGTGAAAGGGCAGCAGGGCAGGACTAAGGTAGGACTTCCCTCAGATCCTCCCTCTTCTTTCCTTCTTTCTTTCCTTCTTTCCTAAGTACAGAGTGGTGGGAAAATATTTGAGATGAGGGAGGGAGAAAAACAGGCAAGAAACGCAGCTGGGGAGGTGTCACCTCCCCAGTATGCACCCAGGGGGCGGGGCCGACACGGTAGGAGCTGGTTCCTCGCTGGTTCCAGACGGCCTTGTGGAGCTAAGACTGCGTTTCAACATAGATGGCCACCACAAAATTGTACATTGGCTCCCGGCCAGCCTGGGCCAGGGCCAAGGCAGCGCGGGCCATTCCCTTACTGTTTCCAGGATGGCTTTGCGGGCCACATGAAACCACTTCGCAGGCCGCATCTGGCCCCCGGCCCTTGTGTTTGACATGTCTGTTCTTGAGCCATTCCTTTGTTGCCTTGGCCGTGTG